TAGGGGTTTAGGGTTTAGGGCTGATGACGGCCTGAGGCTTCCCTCACGAGAGCACCTGCGCACATGCCCAGCAGAGACAGGACTCCGTGGCAGGATCCACCCTACGATGATGACCATGCTAAACCTTAAAGCCTAAACCCCTAANNCTAAACCCCTAAACCCTAACCCCACAACCCTAAACCCCTAAACCGCTAAACCCCTAAACCCCTGAACCCTAAATCCCCCAAAGACCTCCGACCCAGAGCTAGCAAAGGGGCCTAAATAATCACCAACACCATCTTCAGGTTCCTTATTCTAAATTTCTATAAGACACCCCCCAAAACCTGTTTTAATTCTGAACGCCCTCACAATGCACTAATGGGGATCGAAACTACGAAGTAATCCTTGTAAACCTCATCCACTTAGCCCGTGCCTGCCGGGCCCAATGTAGGGGCCTTAACACTTAGACTCGGGTTTTGGTGTACATACAACGAGTAGAACAAAATCCAATGGTTAATTATTCAGATTCAGGCCCCTGTACTCCCCCTCAACCAACGGATTCCGTACTTCTCTCATGGCCTCCAGCGCTTTGGGCCTCACCTGACAAGGAAGCGCAGGGTGCGGAGGATTGGGATCGAGCTCCAATTTGCGACCTGTCATCCTAACGCCCGGTATGAAATTCTCCCTAACACCATGTTGAGCAAGTTTCGCCCGAATTCCGCACCTTCGGGGTCCCGTCTCTGCGCGCTGAACTTCCTGCGTTGAGTCCTCGCCGCGCGATTATGCAGAATATCTGAAGAATCTTTTGGCTAAGAGTTTGGGTCTTAGGGTTGAGAGCTTTTTGGCGGGTTGTGAGCTTAGGGTCAAAGGACTTCACTAGCAAAAATGGCGACAGTGATGGTAACGGTCATGGTGATGATGAGTCAGAAACTCATGAGCACGCCATCTTCCGCCAAGCAGCTCGTCACTCCAAGCAGGACTGCTATAGGTGCAACGGCCAATACTCATGACATAATCCCCTTAACCGAAAACCACCTACAAGCAGACCACGAAGTGCTGGAGCTCAAATGCCCGAAACGCCCGTCGCCCCAACCAAAACAAACAACAGCAGAACCTTAAGGCCAGACTTGCTGGATCAAGCAAAGGCGGTCCTGTGTAAGGCTTGAACTCGATTCCATCCTCGTCGACGTAGACCCGCCGACCATCGTCAGACCACCGGATCCGGGACTTTTTGAACTTCTGCGTGAACCGCACCCTTGGGGCAGGGTTTAGGCTTTAGGGTTTAGGGCTTCTAAGACTTATACGAAAGGACCCGTGCTTAGGGATCTCCAAATAGGCGATCCGCGTATTGCCCACCTTATCTTCGCAAGGGTGTTCCATGAGGTCGACCAATAATCGTTCTATACTCGGAGGTCCTTAAAGGTTTCAAGAAGCAGCTAGGTTTGGGCTCGGTGAATCCAGAGGAACAGCAGAGAGCACTTCGGTGTGTGAGTCAGGGTTGCACAGTGAGAACGTGGCGGCTTCAACACCAACTCTCTTGATGTGGGGATTAGGATTTAGGGTTTAGGGGTTTTAGGGTTTAGGGTTTAAGGCTAAGGGTTCAGGGTTTAGGGGTTTAGGGGTTTAGGGGTTTAGGGTTTGAGGCTTAGGGTTCAGGGTTTAGGGGTTTAGGGTTTAAAGTTTAAAGCTTAGGGTTCAGGGTTTAGAGTTTCCATAAAGGACAATCCGTACCAACATATACAAAAGGTCTTGTGGCTCAATACTCCTGCTGTCCAGGCGTATGTAGGCACGGCCCGATCCCCAGATCACTAGCTGAAACCCAACATTCGCGGTCCCAACATGCCAGTCTCAAAACCAAGCTCCTACTGAACTCCCGAAGATACGGATTAATTCATCATGTTTACCCTCAAGCCCTTGCCACGAGACCTAGCCTTAACTCGTGTAGGTCTCAGTGCAATCCGCGTGCGGTGAGTAGCAGCCAAACCCTGAACACAAAATAGGCTGCTTCAGTTGTAACAAGACCGAATCTGACCGAAACCCTAAATTACTAAACCCAAACACTTGTACAACATAAGAGCCAAGCCCCAAGATCCAACATACCATGCAAGCTAGACCTCGAACCCCAAAACCCTACACACACATTTATGCCATAAGGCCTAAACTCAAAAACAACAACAAATGTATCGTGCGGGCCAGAAGACGAAATCAAACAGTCATGCCTCTGTTCAAAGAGACACCGAAAACCTGCCCGTCATGATAAAAACCCTCCATATGGGAGTTTCCAAAAATTAGGGTACCTTATTCTGGGGGTCCTTATAATAAGGGGCCTACTATTTAGGGTACTATGTTAGGGTCCCCTTATTTTCGGAAACTCCCATATGAAACAACAACGCCTACACTCCGTGCCGGAAGCAACGCGAACAATAACATCCTGGCGGCAACTTGAGTTCAGAACAACTTTTGCACAATAACCCAACGCTTTACAACAAGTGCTGCAAACACCATTGCTTTCTGAAAGTGCCTTGGCTCGCTCTCGTGCGTGATGCGCGGCCGAACAATCTCTTGCATTTCCTCCTCGTGTTCCTCTGCCTGATGTTCAGATTTCAGGGTCATAGGGTTTCAGGGTAGTTTTGGGTCTCTCTCTCTCTCTCTCTGTCTGTCTCTCTTTCTTTAGATATTCTCGGTGGGCTGGTTTTAGGGTTTACAGCATCTGTCAAATGTCGGCTCTACAACACTGAGAGAAGCCTTCTAGCCTACGACGATGAGTCCGTCTTTCTGTGCCCAGGCTAAGCCAGAATCTTTAGGTTCCCTCATTCCTCCACCTGCCTCAACCCTACACTAAAAAAGTCCATGTTACCCTAACCCCCCAGGTACCTACTATATAGGGTACTACAGGTTCAAGGGCCCTATATAGTAGGTAACTGGGGGGTTAGGGTTAAGCCTGAAATCTCAAAACCTCATTGCTCCAAGAGGCTTCCTCGTCGCTGTCGACCGCCGCGGTGCTAGAGGAGGAGTCCTGCCCACAAAGCTTAGGGCTTAGGGTTTAGGGCTTAGGGCCTAAACCCTAAACCCTAGAGTTTAAGGGTTTAGGGTTTAGGGGTTTAGGATGGTTGAGGCTTAGGGTTGTTTGCAACTTAGGGTCTCGGGCAACAAGGGTTCGGGATTCGGACATTCGATTCAACGCTTCCCGAAGTGACTATCTATATCTATATATATATAATGTAAATAATATATATATATATATATATATATAGGTTACAATAAGGGATCTATAGGCGAACATAAGCGCTCAAAGAAAGGAGGACCTACGTAGCCGCTTCGGAACATCGGCAAGATGAAAGAGTCGGACGAACCCAATCAAATTCGGCTCCCGAGAACATGATAGGGGCCTTCACCATTGGAATAGGGGTTGGCGGTGTATGTAGCATGGCAGTATTGCAAATACATATATATATATATATAACATACAAGCTGAGTGGGATTTAAATTCGCAAAGGTCCAAACCAGAAGTCATGCGAGGTCCACAGCAACAACAGCAGCTGGCTGCGGCTAGATCCAAGTCCTGAGCCCTCAGAACCCTCAATCCGTAAAGCGCGAGACCTCGAAGCCCGGAATTGAGGGTTTAGGGTTTAGGGGGTTAGGGGTTCAGATGTAGGGGTTTGTGGGCTTAGGGGCTCAGGGTTTGGGGGTTTGGGGGTCTAGGGGTTTAGGGGTGTGGGGACCTCTAAGACCGGAAAGCGAGAGAGTTGGAACATTCATGTCCTCATGCCCTCAAGCTAAAGTAGACGGGATCCTAGCAAGAATCCTCCTAAACCTATGGTAACCTATCTTCCAACTCTCTGGGATTCGCTGTAAGGCTTATGAAGGCCGGACACCCTAAGACCCGAAAGATCCGGCCTCGGAAGGGCTTAGGGTTTAGGGGTTTAGGAGTTTAGTATAGGGTTTAGGAGTTTAGGGGTTTAGGGGTTTAGGGGTTTAGGGGTTTAGGGTTTTAGGGGTTTAGGAGTTTAGGGGTTTAGGGTTTAGGGAGCGGCCTCCTGCTCTGCTGGCCAGGAAGCATCGGGCTCTCTGCTGCTTTCCGAGGGCCTGACGGAAGGATCTCATCGATGTCTGCATTGTGTTCTTGTTACCCTAAGGGTCCATGTACCCAAATAGTATATACATTGGCCTTAAAGTAGTCCCTATATAGGCACTTTGGGGCCAATGTATATACTACATGAGTACATCCAACCTTAGGGTTGCTCACTCGTATGAAGTTCAGTATTCAGAGGTTTGACAGTAGAGGCTTCAGGTTCGGGGCCCCAACCCTAAACCCTAAACCCTAAAACCATAAACCCTAAACCCTAATCCCTAAAACCCTGACAGCCCTCGTCAAAGACATTTCAAGGCGGTGACATTGCCCAGCGTGATCTGGGAATGCAGCTGAGGAATGGGCGTCTCGCTAACATCCTCGGTGGTGATGTCAATGCCTCCATAGTTGGGAGAGCTGGCTTAGTGTTCAGTGGTTCCGAAGAAGGATTTAGAAGGGGATTGCACTCAACGGGCGTCGGGCTGACGGCGAATGGGTCAAGTGCCGGGTGCTCTTCGCGGACTCATGAAACGGAAGGCTTTGGAAAGAGAAAGGCCAAGCTACCCATAAAGGAGATTGATTGCCTTGCCGCTGGCCACTGCACCTTATGATCTCGACATTCTTCTGTCGATGTCGAGGCTGCAAGATGGCGCACTTTCGGGTGGTTCGGATAAATTCATCCGCGAGCTTAGCCTATGTCGAAGTTTGACTGTGCTAGTCGTATATTTCTACAGACAAACAGCAATAAGAATCGCAAAGTAGTTGTGACCTTGATAAAAACACTATTCATGGCGGCAGTAGTCAAAAACTCTCAATCGGCAAGACCGTTGGCAGCAGGTAAACCATGCTAAGTAGCAATGCCAAGGCTGCTGCTTGTACTTGTCTTCGTCATGACTATCATAGTGGTGGTGGTAGTAATGATAGTAGTCGTCGTCGTCAGTAGCAGTAGCAGTAGCAGTAGCAGTAGCAGCAGTAGCAGTAGCAGTAGCAGTAGCAGTAGCAGTAGCAGGAGCAGGAGCAGCAGAAGCAGCAGCAGAAGCGGTGGTGGTAGTGGTAGTAGTAGTAG